CACAGAGCGGTCGTGGACAGTCGTTGTTGCTTCTCGTCGTCGTTCTTCGGTGTGGACGAGACCTGACTTTGATTGGTGATTGGCAGTTTCGACGAGACGCTGTCGTCTTGCGAGGGCGTCGTTGAGGAATCGAGGTCAGCAGCGGGGCTGTCATCCGACGAGGGACACGTTGTCAAGGGCGCCAACGGCTGCTCGAACATGTTGAGCCAGGGATGCTGGAGGCATTCGGTCACCGTCAGGCGTTCACTGCGAACAGACAAGAGTCGCTTGCTTGGAGAGAATTCCATACTCCTACGAACGCGCGAATGCATTCCGTGAATATTTTTCGATTACAACTAGGTTCTCGGTTCGATATCGCATTCCCGGTAATCTCGCCTCTCGCGTTAAAAACGCCGAGGATAAGAGGCTCGACTCGGTTACGTCGGTCACTTCAGCGCAGCACGCTCGAACAAATATAACAACAAGCTCGTTCCGCGAACGACCACGTTCTCTCGTCGTCCTCGTTAACTCGAGGAGCGAGAGAGTCAAAGGGTTAAGAGACCCGTCGCATAAACGACCTCCGCTAGGCGGACCGGAGCGTTTATCGACGGCGGCCATCATCGTGGCGATCTCGCCGGGACGTTTTCGCGCGGCTATTCTCCGTGCCCCATGTACATACTATATTCGTGTACCACGTGGACAGTAACCGTACAGTAACCGTCACGTCGGCTAAAGTATCGCCTTCCGGCATATACGAAACGGCGCAGGATATCTTCAATAACGGAGCAACGAATTGCGTAACGCTTAACCGCCGTGGAATGCCAGTCCATCGAAAGAAGTTGTTGAAACATTAGCGGGCGGTCCCTCTTTTTAATTCCAGAACCGTGAGAAAGACTCAAATAAGGACTGATCGCACGCGTAAACAAATTAATTCTCTCACGTCACTCTTGCTATTTACATTACCACGTTCGTGAAATTACGCTTACCGTAATCGCCGATCATTAGCATAATAGCGATAATTACTTTCGTGATTATACTCGCATATTTTAAACATATAAGGTAGAAAGACGCGAGAGAGTAATTTGGATATCTTAATTTTAACACAAATAAAATGATCGTAAGTGCAATTAGACTTAGGTGTCAACAATTTCCATTATTAGCACAATTTCCCGCGTAACGCGTCTCTCTTCGAACGTAAATACAAGAACTCGTAGCAATGAATGAGGATTCCTATTCAACGTCATCATCACACATGATAAGACATGCGGGTTCCGCGCGATAAGATCCTCCGCGCTCGTTGGAGAGGAAGGACGCGGATAACGACTTCCTCTCAGCTGTCGGCTCGATAGGGAAACCTAGAAGTTCTTTCATTTTATTTTTTTTTATTTTTCCAGCGGGATTCGCCTTCCTCGACGTTCGCTCTTCTCGCCTCGAAGAAAGTCGCCTCGCGAAGCGACGTGGCGCCGATCGTATTTCTTCCGTTCGCGTATTCGCAACCGACGACAGACTCGACGATCGGTCAATCACAGCTCTTACCTTCGGGCAAATGATTAATAAATGCATCTGCGATGAAATCACATTGCGCACGACTAATCCGCAAAAAACGTTGAAAGAGGAAAGCGAGCTGAGCCGAGTGCGATTCGAGGAAGAGCTCGGGCGATTAAGCCGACGATCGATGTAACTCAACGAATTCAACGAAATGCATTAATTTCGCGCGTAGATCTGTCTGATCTTCTCAAACGTATGCTTATTCGCTTTTACGTTACCTCGCGCATAATCGAATGAAAGCCGAAGCTAACAACGCGATGAAAGTTAAACCCTAGAGGCTAGAGGATACGTCTCGCTCCTAGAATCCATACAATAATAAGAGATACGTCGGTATGTGGACGAAGAGACTGAGGATGTTTCAGTGATACGTTCGCGGGAATGCGAAACGACCGTTGCGAATTTCTCGCAGGCGAGTGGCTTTCTCGCGAAGCGGACGCGGCGGTGATCAAATCTCGGGTGGCGTTGACCCACTGATACCGAATCGCTCCGCCGGTCCTCGATGGATCGTTCGACGATGCATCGTCGCGCGATGCCGTCATCTCGGTTACGGCCCGGAATGTTGCGCGCCGCCCGCGGCGATGTGTCTACGTGACGCGATTGTTTTCGTTCTAGGAAATCGGCCGACGTACCGACATAACTAACGATGTAATCGACGCGGCGCGGACGCGGCGTTTCGCGCGCTATCTTCTTTCGCTTCGAGGTAAGCGCCGGGCGTTCTCGGTAGATCGGCACAGCCTTCCGCGAAGGAATTATTTTCACCGGTCCAGGAATCCTCGCGACGGCTTCTCCGATAACGCGCTCGCCGACACTCGCTTCGACGAGCGCCTAGACAAGCTCCTCGGCAACGAGAACTCAAGAACGCCGATCGACCGAATTGATATGACGTGGGTGCGTAATAAATCGCGACGACGACATCCCGATCGCATTGGGACAACGAATGGAAATCTTTCCGTCGAATCAAGTGGACCGTATGAAGATAAATGGCAACGAAGTGGCTCGCCACGATGATCAATGGATCTCGCGCTCTGCGAATCTGCGTCGCCGCGAGTACGTTTCACGGTCTGTTTTACATATAATTGCATCAAAGAATTAAGAAAAATTTCTCGAATTTTTTTGCATTCTTCTTCTCTCTTCTTCTTCTTGCTCAATATGCAAAAAATTAAATATATATATATATATATATATATATATATATATATATATAATTTTATTAATACGATAATAATTATGCTGTACATTATAAAAATCTAGAGCTGAGAAATTTGCTTACTTCGGATCCTTAACCATGAGTTTGCGCATGAGATCGCGCGCCTCCTCGGAAACGTCCTCGAAGAGATCATCCGGAAAGTCCAGGCGGCACCGACTGATGTTGCAGAACGTCTCCTGCTTGGTGTCGCCGCCGAACGGCGAGCATCCCGTTAGCAGCACGTAGAGCAGCACGCCGACGGACCACATGTCGGTCGCCAGGCTGATCGGCTCGTAATTCAGAACCTCCGGGGCTGAGACACACACGCGGCAGATGAGCCGTTATTACATTCGCGCGGTGAGATCCCGACCGTGATGCATCGAACCATAATGCCCGTCGGGAGCACGCGTGTGCGCGTGCATCCGCGAGTCCCGTCGGCAATTAAATTCGAGAAAAAAAGAGATAACCCCGCTTCTCTCCCTCGGCAGTTCTGCCATTATGTCGCCGCGGCCGTTATGACGCGCTGATGTTTAATGGAGCCTCGCGCGCGTCTTCTTTAACGGGACAATAATAATTGTAACCGTTGACGTATTAGATAATAGTCGCGATGTGATTAAAACCGCGGTTGACTCGGTTGCGATAAACTCTGTATCACGCCACGATTTTTCCGCATCTCGCTCCGTCCAGTTTTCGTCGCGTTGTTTTTCATCACGCGAACGATCTCGCTAATTTCCACGAATAATCTCGGAGCTGACGTTAATTGACCGATTGAACTTCACCGGCGGAAAAGCGGGGTCTCTTAATTCAATTCAGGACCGATTCCATTCTTTCTTCTTTTATTCGATAATATGTAATTTCGAACCGTCACTCTATCGATCAATTTAGCGGATTGTAAAAATAATTTTTTTCTAGAACAATTCCGAACGGTATCACGATCGCCGAGGGTATAACGGTGATAGCTCGAGACTTTCCTATCTCCCCGTAGGGGATTCTCGCGAGACTCGCTATTACCTAACACCTTTGTCCACTCGGGGCATGACCGTTAGACGGTAGTGCGACGATGTAATTGCGACGGTAATCGGTTGCGAGGATCGTAAAAGGGTCTTCCCGGCCGATCGAAAGAAGCGCAGAATCGGCCGCGTACGGTTCTCTAGCATAATCCGCGAAGTGGATTGTTCTGTTCAATTATGCAATACGCTTGTTTCCCTAATGGAACCACGTGGCACGAACCGTAGTTCCATAAGCGATTTCGTGACACCCCAAGCAGATCGCAAATGTGAAACATACGTGAAAGTGTGACCCCCCGTCATGATCGGGATCGGAAATCACTGGCACGCATGTTTACCGTCCATACATGGCACCGTCAAAACGACCTCGCTTTATTAGAATTCATTTGTTGTCTTCGGTGACAGGCACACGGATTCAAATTATTAAGAGAAATATGCGGAAATGTGCGAATGTCGCGAACTCCCGACTATTTGCCGAAAATTCCCTTCCACTTTGGTCACGTTTTACGAAAAATCAAATTTTCTAATCAAATTGAACAGGAACAAAACTACATTCGCGGAAGGAATATGAGTCGCGTACGGAATAAAGTACTCACCGACATAGTCAGGCGTGCCCAAGATCTCTCGTATGTCCGCCCCGTGGCTGATGTACCGCGATATGCCGAAGTCACATAGCTTTACGTCGCAGTCCGGAAACTCTCCAGTAAGTACCAAATTCTGCGGCTGAAACATCGAAAGGCAAGAGTTCAATAAAGAATCGACCGTTATCGACAAGAGAAAGGCTGTCATTAAAATAAATTTGCTGCGGAGTAGACTCGTGACTGTTTTAACTGTATGTTTTTATACGTCATACGTATATAATTTTTCGTGATGTTTCCTTAAAAAAAAAGAAGAGAGAGAGAGAAAAAGGAAAAAAGTCCGTAAAACGCGAGCGGGAAGAAGAAAGAGACGAGCAGGTTTTATCTCGCGGTGATCTCCGTGCGACAATGCCAATTTCCTACCGCGATATAATACGGAGAAAGTAAAGCTTCTCCTTTCAAAAGTGGACGGTCGCATGACGATTGCTTTCGGTATTCGGTATTCCCTTGGCCGTTAACACGGGACAAAGCGACCTCGGTACTTTCGTGGTCGCAGCCAATTATCAGAAACACGCAAGCGAGCCGAGCCGAAACACTTTTTCTACACCGAATAACAACTCAGGAATTTCGGCGCCACCGTGCGAATGCACAAGCGGCGATAAAATTACACGGCTTATAATTATAGGTGTATATATATCCCTCTTTCAGAAGTAAAAATACACGGTCATGCGATATCGTTAATTCGCGACTTATGTTTTAACTTTAGGCAGGCCGTGGCCTCGGCGGAATTTTAATTCACGTCGTAATTATCGAGAGGTCTCTAACACCGCCGCCGCGCGCTTCGGAGTTCCGAAAAATAATAACTTCCGCGTTAATTTGAGCGCGATAGGGGATTTTTGCCGCGCGACGCCGGTGGATGATTAATCGTCGGAACAGGGCAAGAAGCGGGAGGGAAAGGGAAACGCGCGGCGCGTATACGTAATGCGCACGCGGCATTCTTATTTTTTTTTTTTTTTTTCCTAACGATCAGGTGGAAGAGAGGCAAACGAACGTCCACATTACAATAACATGAGTCCGCGTAGGCGTCTCGCGCGAGCCATAATGCCTGGACGTATAAACGATTCCGCGATAAGAAAGGTCGTCGCGCGGCCTAGGTGCAACTCTCGTGCCCACATGACATGGTTCCCTCCTCCTCCCCCCTCGCGCCGACCCTTTCCCCGGAAAACAATCGGACAATGCTGAAGAGGTCGCGTACAGCGAGGCTCGCGGATAGAGACGGTCCGGGACGTCGGGGATGAGCGAGAGACGAGAGGAAGCTTGTTGCCGATCCATTGTCAACTGGCCCCTCGACTGGTTTACGACCACCTAGGTTGCCCGAGAATTACGTCTTCAGTGCCGGATCGCGACTCCTAAAGGACGCCATTATCGGTGCGCTTTATTAAGGAGAACGCAGCGGTGAACCACGTGGCCGCGTCGTCCGTACAAGCCCCTTCGATCGTACAAGCGAAAGGGGGCCGTTGTTATATTAAATACTTTTTAATGAGGAACTATCGGGGAACGACAACTCTGCTTCGGGCTCAAATGTTTGCGCGCAGATGTTTGCCACGCAGCTTGCAAAGGGCGTAATAAAAGAATACAAGGATCACAATTACGCTCATGAGAGTGACGAAAGTCGGCGGGGCATACTGGTCATAAAAAAAAAAAAAGAATACTAACTCGATTAGGGTGAGAATGAAACGATATAAATGCAGGGCTATTCAACTTTCGTTTATTGCCGTATTGTTAATAATATGCAATTATTTGTGGCACGCAGCTTGCAGAATTGGAAATTACCAAGACGCAATAACGACAATAGATATTATTGATCCACGAAAGGCGATGAATAACTAATTTCAAATAAAGGGATAAGATTATTTTTGTTTCGTCTTGTTTTGTCTTCCGAATCGATAAGCGAAACGATGATTATCGAGAATTCGCATTCGTAATTGATATTAACATAATGTTCCGTAGCAAATCATCGCATTACGGAGGACAACGATGTATTGAGCGATACAAACCATGCAGGTCCGGCCCGATCGTGAATTTGCATGATTGACGACACTTTGTTCTTTGTTGAACCGAGCGCGAAAAATGGCAATTTGTGCTGACCATACTTTTTCTCCATCCAATCGATGCAAAGTCGCTAAATTTAAATAACATTCGCGGCTTTCGCGATGCAGAATTTTCAGCTTCATTTCAATTTGTTTATGATCGACAACGTGATGATTCGCCGACGAGAAGAAGAGAGATAGAGGAGACAGGAGGGGCGGGGGAACATTGCGGGTGCGTAGTCACATACGAGATGTGATCGAGGACAATTTTCGCGGTAATCGATCGATTCGCCCACACTTAATCACGCTGACAGCCGACGACGAGAAACTCGACTGCGAGCCTCGCGTGTAATGGATGTTAATTATGGAAATGTCTTTGTTCCTTATTAGGGCGACTTCCTGGACTCGAAGCGTGATCTCGGAATTGATTCCTACGCAGCGCACGTACAGCGCACTGAAAAGGGAACGCAACGGGGCTACGATTGCTATTAATTTTTAGCGAATTATTAGCGTTATCAATTATCCGGAAAACTGAGTGAGGCCGTAATGAAGCTACCGTCGATATTAGGAATCAATGACATTTAGCCAGAGAAGATAAATTTTATCAACTGTGCTGTGAAACTTTCAGATAAAAGTCTCACGTACTCGAATAATGCTTTCCCCATTTAGTGACACAAGTCGACACAATTATTTTGTGTCGACTTGTGTCACATTTTGTCCTTGTTAATCATTGAAAGCCAAGAAAGATAGAAGAAAGAAAGATACTTGTGTCGACTTGTGTCACTAAATGGAAAGCACCCAATATAAATAGATTATATGAGAGTAATCAATGAAATTTTGACAAAACGTGCAAAAACCTGGAGAAATTAAGAATGTTAAAATTAAGAAACCTCCTCAGCCGAAAACCGCCTCGCTCCAGTTCAAAATTACGAAACAAAGATGAAACGTGACACAAAGAAAACCGACTCGTGACCTCACAGCGATATGGAGAGCTGCTTCTGAATCGCATTATTCGCCGTACGTCGAGCAGCTCATAATGAAGTCCGGTCACGTTCGACTTGTAACTCGGTTTAACGAAACGTAACACACAAACTGAATCCTCGAGCGAGCCGAGCGCCTTTGTCCCAACCACATCCTTTTACGCTCGATACGCTTGATAAATTGTGCGCCTCGAATTTCGGATGGGCGTCTGAAATTCAAACGCAACTAACGGCTGGACGATCCCCAATTGTAATCTCTCGTTACAAGAATTATTACGTATTATACAAATGCGTGAACGAATCAATCACGCGCCCCCGTTCGATCCTGTTTAGCTCGCGTGAGAGCGACGCAGGCACGTAGGAATTCCGATACAAAGGGCCTGCGCCTTCGAGAAACGCGTTCCTGGTAACGGCCGATGCAACGTGCCACGCAGCTGCCTTCGTGCATCGGCGCGCATTTTTCGAGGGGACACACGTCGGTCTTGGCGTCCATTACACGCGCGACGGCTGTGATCTCGTGCCACTTAATTCAACGCGTTCAATAAACGACGAGAATTCGAGTGCACTCGTCACTTAATCGAGGTAATTAATCGAGGCGCGAGCGCGCGTCGCGTCGTCGTCGGCTCGCTCTTTTTCGTATCTTACAAGCCGATGCGAGCTGCCTCCGATCTTTTATTTTTTTCTTTTTTCTTATCGCGAAAGTAGATGAGCTCTCCTCCCTCGAGACTTACTTCGCCCTTAATTAACGACGTGAGATGTATAACGTAGATCCCTCGGGTATTTCGATACAAAGTGCGGCCAGAAACCATTGCCGCTTCGTCCCGTATTTTCTCTCTTTCGAGAACAGCTGCTTCCGAAAAGTTCACAAAAAATCTCGATTTTAATAAAGTATATGAAACACTCGCTCGCTCGCGCACTCGATCACCTTTGCGCGAGACGTCCGGGCGAAAATAAAGCGTGACTGGATCAAATCAATCATCTCCTTCTTTTTTTGCAATCGACATACTTCCCGCAACACGGGAATCTATTTTACCGTTCTCGCGCAATCTCGTGCAGGATCCGTGCATGACGTAAATATCGATCGAATGCACCCTTGCGAATTGTAACAGGTGTTCATGCGCCTCGCAGCGGGCATTTCTGTCGGATGTTGGCGCTTAAGTGCCGCGACCCGCGCAAAAACGATTTGCAGGAAGGACGCGCGTCATTAAATCGAAGCCGAAGCGGCCATTCATCTAACATCTTGGCGGTTCGAAAAAACAATTCTCACGGTCGTGAGATTTTAACTGTGTCGTCCGATTAAGACGTCCATAGAGAATTAAAAATTACTTTGGAAACACACTTTACGCGATCGGGCGCGCTACGCGCGGAATGTGTGTGCCCGTCGCGGCGGCGACCGAGGGAGCGAGATTTCACGGGGACTTAACGGAGCAAATCTTCACGTCATTATCCGGCGAAGGAGTACATTGTCCCCGCAAAACGTAAGAAATCATCCGCGGGATAACGGTGCGACTTCCGTCTTTCGTATCTCTTCTTTCAGCGCGCGCACAATGCGACGTCTCGCGCGCGCGCGCGCGTGAAAAGTCGGGCGCGAGATGTCTAATCAACACGAGGGAAAACGCGGGGGCAGCCGGGAAAGAAGGGGGGGGGAGGGAGGAGCACTGTTGTGTTGTGTAGTTACAATCGCGCATCTCGCGCTCGTTAGGCGTGTCAATGAGCGCCCGCGATCCGTAATTAGCCCGCCGGTCCGCTTAACAATGCGTGACACTTTGTGCGCGCCGCGTCGCGTTGTACGTGAGCAAACGTGGGCAATTAGAAGGCTTCGCGAAAAAAAGGTGGGCGACCTGGTCGCATTACCCGCTTTTCACCGGAGAGTGCCGCGAGCCCGGGCCTGGGCTTCGGGCCCACTTCGAAACGAGGCGGGGCACGGACGGACAATTGGCCGATAACCGACCGGCCGGCGCACAGCCGCGATTAGAATGCGCACCTTCCGCGATTACGAGGATCTCGAGTTTCTCGCGTGCGAGGTAAACTACGGCTGTTAAGATAATACCCGAGTTCGTGCGCGAACGATCAAT